TTTCACTTTTTAAATGGAATTACTGAAATAAATCTACTTTTTCATGATATTCTAATTTTATGACCAGCACCTGTATTTCCTTCAGTGGTAACCTAAGGTGTAAGGATGAAGCCATGATGATGGTGGAAGTGTAACTGTGAGGACTCGATGTCGCCCAGTGGAGTCTGAAGAATATGATGATCCAGGAGAACGTGAGTCACATGACAAGCCTTTGATCCAACGCCCTGATGCATCTCAGTAATCCAGGTAGAAAATCAAAAAGGTAGGTCCTCTGGATGGTTCTTTAATGAAAGTATCGTCTCTTCTCCGAGACACTTCTTTAGTCTGAGGAGTTTCAGGTGAACTCAGTCTTATAAGCACTGCCTCCACATGGTAACAAACAGGTTTAACAATGACAATCAACACTGTTTGTTCACATGCAAGGGTCCTCTGTGGCATGACCTGTGATCATATATGACCTGTATCTGGAGGGTCGGAGAGGTGATTATCAAATTATTGTAGAAAGATTTTATGTCCAGAATGAACATCTTGTGTCTCCTCGTCTACAGGCTGAAGGAGGAGCGGCGGATCAGGAGTCTGTAAGTAAAATGATGTGAGAGAGTGGCAGGATGGAGACCCACTGTAACACTGATACAGGGTTCTTATCTTTTAGGAGGCTGACGAGAAGACAGATCAACCCTCGGCAAACAGATCCCAGTTGATGAGAAGCTTTGGTGGAGGAAAGGTTCTGGCAGACCATCAGATGCTGGGAGACAGAACACAAAAGGTTAGTTTCTGCCACAAGTAGCAGAGACTCTGTCGAATACCAATTACCAGTGCCAGGTACCCACAAACCTGGCACCTAGTATTTACTATATCGTACATATACTTGTGCCAGTTAACAAACAGCTTTTTTCTTTTTTTTTCTTATTTAGACACAGTTAATTATATGTTTTGTCCACAAATATAACATCACTGCTTCCTGTAAACAGGGTCTGATTGGGTGTTCATACCAACCGTTAGACCACATTTTCTCACATTACACCCTCCAAGTGTTTTACTGGAGTGAAAACCTGCACRAAATCACCTTCCTCATTAATTCATCGCCCTGCTAACATTTACCACATGAAAGACATGACACATTTAAAAAAGACCGGTCATACACCTGCAGATAAACACTCCTACAGTGGTCACCTGACAGTTCCTCTGACCTGTACCTGACATCTGTGACAACACAACTGATATATGWGCTCTCAGAAAAATGACAGAGGAACCAAAGTGTCCCACTGCCTTAACGAGACACTTTGAACTACCATCTGAAACCATCTGGAGAAGGTTCAAAAGATGCAGTAAGTTCCCACAGCTAGGTGCTGCAGGTGTAGCAGGTGCTGCAGGTGCTGCAGGTGCTGCAGGTGCTGCAGGTGCTGCAGGTGTAGCAGGTGCTGCAGGTGTAGCAGGTGCTGCAGGTGCTGCAGGTGCTGCAGGTGCTGCAGGTGCTGCAGGTGCTGCAGGTGCTGCAGGTGTAGCAGGTGCTGCAGGTGTAGCAGGTGTAGCAGGTGCTGCAGGTGCTGCAGGTGTAGCAGGTGCTGCAGGTGCTGCAGGTG